ATTATTTGTTTTTCTTTTAAGTAAATTTAGCCTACTTTTGCTAAAAGAGAAAATATGGACTAGTGATAGTGCCTTGAATAATATCGGCTTCTTTCATTCATGTTATGGGTATTTTTATACAAAGGAAATTTTTTTGTGCCTGTTGAAAATTAAAGTTTACTGACATAGCCATAAAAAAATGTTGCTTTATTTATCTGACCGTATTGGAATGTATTTGTGAGGTTTTCAGTCAATTAAATTTGGTTCAATAAACAATATGTGGTCATTTTTAAAATTTTCAATGAACATTCGATCAGTCCGGCCCTCGGCTTGCAGCAAAAATTTTTATCTGGCCCTCCATCCATTTGACTTTGACACCCCTGCATTACTTGAATTAATTATAAACCACAACGTGAGAAAAAAAATATATGATTTTACTATGAAACAATTTTATGGATTTTACTCGTATTTATTTATGTATTTTGTGTTCATTTATCTCATTAAATAATTGGTTGTATATATTACATGATGAAAGGATTTTAGAAAATGGCTAAACATTAGTAAAATAAACATAATTTATCTAGTTATTTAACAAATGAATAAATTATTAATAATTACATAAATTCTAAATGATTAAAAATGTGACAAATATGCAAATTGACTTTTTTTTGTACATGTGAATTATTTTAAAGGTAGCTCAGGACTGGACTGTATGCGAATTTTTGTCAAGGCACGTTTTCTTTTCTATATTGCACATTAAATGATGTACCTAATAAAATGGCCAGTGGGTGTATTTTTCAACAATAAGCCCACTCACAATTTTGCTCCACGCAGAGGCATGACTATCAGGTCCACCATCAAGGGAGCAACAGGAAGTTAGCCATGTTCATGCTTCCTGTCCACCCCTCTGATGGCCCCCCCCCTTTCCTGGAAACTCATGTTACCGCTCACACACGTAACCACACACAAGCACTTACACACCCCATTCCCCCTTAGACACATGTAGAAAGAAATGACTGATAAAGGCCTCAGACTTTTGAAATACAGCACCTGAAGCCGTTTCCACCGACCCATTAAAAACAAATAATAATAAATAAATAAAAATCACACGTAACCACACACAAGCACTTACACACCCTATTCCCCCTTAGACACATGTAGAAAGAAATGACTGATAAAGGCCTCAGACTTTTGAAATACAGCACCTGAAGCCGTTTCCACCGACCCATTAAAAACAAATAATAATAAATAAATAAAAATCATGGCCCAAAAGATATAAAAAGTCAGACATAAGTCATCCCCCGAGCCCAGTTTGGCTTTGCAACGTGAAATTCGGTAAATATGAGTCCCAAGAAGCCATATGTGAAAACACAAAGAAAGTCTGCCATTTTCGTTTGAAGCTGCCATTTTTCACGACTTGTCATAAAACATGAAACTCTGACTTAACCCTTTGAAAATTCAACGCAAGCCAGGTTTACAGAGCAACTTCAAAATCTGGTAAACATATCATGGGGAGACCCAAAAAAACAAAGTCTCAAGAAGTCATGCTTGAAAATACACAGGAAGTCCGCCATTTTTGGTTCTGAGCGGCCATTTGGCCATAAAACGACCAGCTTTAATTCTTTCTATTAATGAGAATCGGCTTGTGCTGCGTGCTCACATAAATCATGTCCGCAAAACACCCAAATCCGAGTGACACACCCTTTTCCTGCACGGACAACTGTGCAGATAAGCTGCTCGCGCTGGGGAATTCTACACAAACACACAACCACACACACACGCACACACACACACACACACACACATGCAACCACACACACAATTGCTCTGTACTGTACAGTTTTGTACTTTCACACTGCCAGTTCTTCTTTTTCTCTGTTGTTCCTCTTTTTTCGAAAATTTCTTTGTCGTGGCTCGCCACACTCGCACATTCCCAGGAAGCCCCGACAGGATGCGCAGCGCAAGTGTGCAGGATGATAGGACAATGGGAAGTGTTAGGCACACACACATTGTTACACACACACTCAAATGGCGTAGGTACACACTCAAGGAAGGGGTTGGGGGGGGGCTGTAAAAAAGGAAAAGCCCTGTTTCCGCATGATGTCGTCATATCCTCCCTCAATCTGACATTCTGAAAAGCATTCTGGTGGACGGTTGCTATGGTTACCGCCAGACAGATGGCGTATACAGGTATGTCGTCCACCCGATTGGCGATGAACTGTTACCGGCGGGTACCACAACCGAAACGGCCCACCCGCCCGCCGCCTAGTTCCTTCCTTCTCATGGAAAAATTCCAAGACGGCTCCTCCGCCTACGATAAATTATTAATAATTACATAAATTCTAAATGATTAAAAATGTGACAAATATGCAAATTGACTTTTTTTTGTACATGTGAATTATTTTAAAGGTAGCTCAGGACTGGACTGTATGCGAATTTTTGTCAAGGCACGTTTTCTTTTCTATATTGCACATTAAATGATGTACCTAATAAAATGGCCAGTGGGTGTATTTTTCAACAATAAGCCCACTCACAATTTTGCTCCACGCAGAGGCATGACTATCAGGTCCACCATCAAGGGAGCAACAGGAAGTTAGCCATGTTCATGCTTCCTGTCCACCCCTCTGATGGCCCCCCCCCTTTCCTGGAAACTCATGTTACCGCTCACACACGTAACCACACACAAGCACTTACACACCCCATTCCCCCTTAGACACATGTAGAAAGAAATGACTGATAAAGGCCTCAGACTTTTGAAATACAGCACCTGAAGCCGTTTCCACCGACCCATTAAAAACAAATAATAATAAATAAATAAAAAACATGGCCCAAAAGATATAAAAAGTCAGACATAAGTCATCCCCCGAGCCCAGTTTGGCTTTGCAACGTGAAATTCGGTAAATATGAGTCCCAAGAAGCCATATGTGAAAACACAAAGAAAGTCTGCCATTTTCGTTTGAAGCTGCCATTTTTCACGACTTGTCATAAAACATGAAACTCTGACTTAACCCTTTGAAAATTCAACCCAAGCCCGGTTTACAGAGCAACTTCAAAATCTGGTAAAAGTATCATGGGGAGACCCAAAAAAACAAAGTCTCAAGAAGTCATGCTTGAAAATACACAGGAAGTCCGCCATTTTTGGTTCTGAGCGGCCATTTGGCCATAAAACGACCAGCTTTAATTCTTTCTATTAATGAGAATCGGCTTGTGCTGCGTGCTCACATAAATCATGTCCGCAAAACACCCAAATCCGAGTGACACACCCTTTTCCTGCACGGACAACTGTGCAGATAAGCTGCTCGCGCTGGGGAATTCTACACAAACACACAACCACACACACACGCACACACACACACACACACACACACATGCAACCACACACACAATTGCTCTGTACTGTACAGTTTTGTACTTTCACACTGCCAGTTCTTCTTTTTCTCTGTTGTTCCTCTTTTTTCGAAAATTTCTTTGTCGTGGCTCGCCACACTCGCACATTCCCAGGAAGCCCCGACAGGATGCGCAGCGCAAGTGTGCAGGATGATAGGACAATGGGAAGTGTTAGGCACACACACATTGTTACACACACACTCAAATGGCGTAGGTACACACTCAAGGAAGGGGTTGGGGGGGGGCTGTAAAAAAGGAAAAGCCCTGTTTCCGCATGATGTCGTCATATCCTCCCTCAATCTGACATTCTGAAAAGCATTCTGGTGGACGGTTGCTATGGTTACCGCCAGACAGATGGCGTATACAGGTATGTAGTCCACCCGATTGGCGATGAACTGTTACCGGCGGGTACCACAACCGAAACGGCCCACCCGCCCGCCGCCTAGTTCCTTCCTTCTCATGGAAAAATTCCAAGACGGCTCCTCCGCCTATGATATGGACAAGCGAGTGAGATGGGAAGGCCATCTCGGAAGGCATCCAGAGGGAGGGGGGGGGGGGAGTTTACCCGGGTGAATATGGATTTTACTCGTATTTATTTATGTATTTTGTGTTCATTTATCTCATTAAATAATTGGTTGTATATATTACATGATGAAAGGATTTTAGAAAATGGCTAAACATTAGTAAAATAAACATAATTTATCTAGTTATTTAACAAATGAATAAATTATTAATAATTACATAAATTCTAAATGATTACAAATGTGACAAATATGCAAATTGACTTTTTTTTTGTACATGTGAATTATTTTAAAGGTAGCTCAGGACTGGACTGTATGCGAATTTTTGTCAAGGCACGTTTTCTTTTCTATATTGCACATTAAATGATGTACCTAATAAAATGGCCAGTGGGTGTATTTTTCAACAATAAGCCCACTCACAATTTTGCTCCACGCAGAGGCATGACTATCAGGTCCACCATCAAGGGAGCAACAGGAAGTTAGCCATGTTCATGCTTCCTGTCCACCCCTCTGATGGCCCCCCCCCCTTTCCTGGAAACTCATGTTACCGCTCACACACGTAACCACACACAAGCACTTACACACCCTATTCCCCCTTAGACACATGTAGAAAGAAATGACTGATAAAGGCCTCAGACTTTTGAAATACAGCACCTGAAGCCGTTTCCACCGACCCATTAAAAACAAATAATAATAAATAAATAAAAAACATGGCCCAAAAGATATAAAAAGTCAGACATAAGTCATCCCCCGAGCCCAGTTTGGCTTTGCAACGTGAAATTCGGTAAATATGAGTCCCAAGAAGCCATATGTGAAAACACAAAGAAAGTCTGCCATTTTCGTTTGAAGCTGACATTTTTCACGACTTGTCATAAAACATGAAACTCTGACTTAACCCTTTGAAAATTCAACCCAAGCCCGGTTTACAGAGCAACTTCAAAATCTGGTAAAAGTATCATGGGGAGACCCAAAAAAACAAAGTCTCAAGAAGTCATGCTTGAAAATACACAGGAAGTCCGCCATTTTTGGTTCTGAGCGGCCATTTGGCCATAAAACGACCAGCTTTAATTCTTTCTATTAATGAGAATCGGCTTGTGCTGCGTGCTCACATAAATCATGTCCGCAAAACACCCAAATCCGAGTGACACACCCTTTTCCTGCACGGACAACTGTGCAGATAAGCTGCTCGCGCTGGGGAATTCTACACAAACACACAACCACACACACACGCACACACACACACACACACACACATGCAACCACACACACAATTGCTCTGTACTGTACAGTTTTGTACTTTCACACTGCCAGTTCTTCTTTTTCTCTGTTGTTCCTCTTTTTTCGAAAATTTCTTTGTCGTGGCTCGCCACACTCGCACATTCCCAGGAAGCCCCGACAGGATGCGCAGCGCAAGTGTGCAGGATGATAGGACAATGGGAAGTGTTAGGCACACACACATTGTTACACACACACTCAAATGGCGTAGGTACACACTCAAGGAAGGGGTTGGGGGGGGGCTGTAAAAAAGGAAAAGCCCTGTTTCCGCATGATGTCGTCATATCCTCCCTCAATCTGACATTCTGAAAAGCATTCTGGTGGACGGTTGCTATGGTTACCGCCAGACAGATGGCGTATACAGGGATGTCGTCCACCCGATTGGCGATTGACTGGTACCGGCGGGGGGGAACCACTCGACACCCGCCCGCCGCCTAGTTCCTTCCTTCTCATGGAAAAATTCCAAGACGGCTCCTCCGCCTATGATATGGACAAGCGAGTGAGATGGGAAGGCCATCTCGGAAGGCATCCAGAGGGAGGGGGGGGGGGAGTTTTCCCGGGTGAATCTGTGAATTCCGCCACAAGTGATTCAGTGGCAACCCATCCCTGCCTGACAGTTGAACTTTGCCACTTAATACAGCGTCAGCATGGACATTCTCACTTAATTCAACTTCCTTTTTTTCGTCTCCTTGTCCGTCAGTCAGCATTCCAAAGTGACTCAGTGATATCTCCCACACATACACACACGCACGCACGCACACACACGCACGCACGCACGCACACACGCACAAATGCAATAGCAGACGCATTCTGAGAACATCTGGAAACATCAGGGTTTATTTGGGATCGTCATACCGTCTTAATACCTGATTTCTGCCCGAAATCAAACTAAGAACACAAAAGCATAAGGCCTGTGAATAATGAAAAGCTATCTTTAAGTGACGCCCATTGAAATGCATTGGGAAAATTGAAAAACTTAAAGGGGAGATTTTTGAGGGGTTGCAAAAAAATATAACCCCCCCAATACTTCATTAATCGCCAATAAAGCTCCGATATGCATTAGCTACTTCCAAAATACACACAAAACCTCCACAAAAACATACATAAAACATTTTAAAATGGTGAAAAAAAAACGCTGTGTACCAACCCACGAATATGCTTTATGAGAGAAATCAAATTCATAGTTTCCCCCCCTATCACCATCGCCCCCTGCCCATTTTTATTTTTTAGATTAACTGCCATCTCCAGTGTGGACGCAGGCCACCTGCGGTCCACAGACCACCAGTTGCACATCCTGAACTAAGAACATCTGGGAATTTAGGGGGCAGGATGAGAACTTTACCTGACTTCTTCCTTAAATAAAACCAAGTACCAAAAATGTATTGGAACCAAATTACACAAGAAACACACTCACTATCACACTCCCTCACACACACACACACACACACACACACACACAGACACACACACACACACACACACACACACAGGAGGGAACATCTGGGAACATCAGGTCCTGTTTCGCAACGTCATATCAACTAACTACCTGACTTCTCCACTAAATAAAACTAATAAAAATCCACGGGTAACGGGCGCACGCACATACTTCTACGAGGCACACACACAGGAAAGGTCCGGTTGGGAACCTCATATCGACTGATACCTGACTTCTGCTATCAATACAACTTTTGACAACAATCCCCGGAGCACCAGAAACACAGGAAACGCACTCAATTCCCTTTTTAAAGTGTCTTGTAAAGAGATTCCCGATGCTTCGTGGGAAGTAAAGTCCAAACTAAGTCTTTTAAGTTGAATACACAGTCAAGAAATCAATTAAAAATCCGACTTACTGACCAGTGGATGTTGTCGTCTGTGAAGCCGGGCGTCCACTTGCTCAGCTGCTGCCCAACTTTTAGACGTGAGCGTGCGCGCGAGCACGCCGGAGCGGAAAAGGACCGTAGCGCGCCGGCCCACCCTGGAGAGCGCGCACGCACTCACGTCGGACCAGCCGGGGAAAGATGGCGCCTTTCGCCTGTAACACGCACATTCCGCGCTTGCGCAACACACTGTTGATTAATGGGCAAGAGCGGCTTGTGGTGGCTGGTGACGTCACGGCAACAGCAATTGTTATTTTAAAGTTGACTGAAGGCAATTGGAAAAAGTTTCGAGAAAGGCGAACTCGTAGAGTTAAACGCTACCCGCTTTTCTTCTTTGGACTTTGTCCCCCTCTTGTGACCGTTCATTGAATCGCATAGAAAATTAACCGCTCCGACTTCACCGCTTATCAAGATGCTAATCAGACGGCATCATAATTGCGCAAGTGTGCTGCCCAAAATAAACGTCATCTCTCAAATGTGCAGTTTCACTGTACAAGAGAAATTTCAGCTGAATGCATTCAAAAGCCGCAGCAACCACTTTTTTTTTCGTGTCAACTCAATTTATTGAATAGAAAAATACAAGCTTTTTGTCATGTTCTTACTCTCGGCCCTCAAAGTGCGCTTAAGGACACCGGTGGAGGAGTGAGTGTAAAGTAGTCGTAGGGGCAACATAAACAAAACTCATAATAAATTAAAAAAACAAAAAAACACCTGATGAGTAGTCGCAACTGGCGTGGATACTTTTGGTGCAAAAAAAACCCCATGTTAAATATGAATCGGCGCATGCCGCTCAGACACGCTGAACACTGGATTTATATAGCTTTTGTCTTCTACTTTCTCCCTTTCATAATTTTGCTGCTGTAAATTGGGAATGTCTCCATTATGAGACAAATAAAGGTTGTCTTATCTTTCTTAAAAAAAAGATATGCAAATATAAGCATTGGCTGCGTGGGCAAAACATTTGGTTGGAAGGAGGCCATGGTGGGAAAGAACAACACAAACACACAGCTGGCTCAGCATCGGCAAACGTGGTGATGGTGGTGGTCATCTCATGTAGTGAGTGATGGCTCGCAGTGTGTACAACAGCGCTGCTTGCAGGCGAGCCTCCAACACGATCAGGTTGGCGTGCACCTGACAAAAACACACACACGCGCGCGTTACAATATGATAACATTTCAACAACACACAACAATGACGTGTGCACCAAGCATGTTAAGTCTGCATGGTAAGTGTTTGGTGCGTTAAATGTCTCAAGCGTGCGTGTTTATTAAATTATTCAGTGAGTGTGAAATGTGCATTTTTTAAAAAAGTATGTTGCGTGCTTTAAGTGTGTCTGTGAAGTGTGTGTAGTGTGTTAACAATTGTGTGTTCAGTGTGGGTGTGGGTGTTACGTGTTATGTGGACTGCGTCTCGTGCCTCAAGTGTGCCAAGGTTCGTATCGTTAATGAAAACAAAATACAACAAAATTTGAAATGCCATTTTCATTAACTAAATGAAATTGAAAATTATTTTCTTTAAAAATTTTTATCAATGTTTATCAATTAAAATGTCCTTAGTTTTTGTCTTTGTCAAATAATATCATACATGAGCTTTTGGGGTTCATTTTAAAATTGTTCATTTTGGTATTGAGTCGGAGAATTGTAGTTCCATAATACTTGAAAAAAATATATCTGACACTTAACAAAAGGAAATTTTTTTGTGCCTGTTGAAAATTAAAGTTTACTGACATAGCCATAAAAAAATGTTGCTTTATTTATCTGACCGTATTGGAATGTATTTGTGAGGTTTTCAGTCAATTAAATTTGGTTCAATAAACAATATGTGGTCATTTTTAAAATTTTCAATGAACATTCGATCAGTCCGGCCCTCGGCTTGCAGCAAAAATTTTTATCTGGCCCTCCATCCATTTGACTTTGACACCCCTGCATTACTTGAATTAATTATAAACCACAACGTGAGAAAAAAAATATATGATTTTACTATGAAACAATTTTATGGATTTTACTCGTATTTATTTATGTATTTTGTGTTCATTTATCTCATTAAATAATTGGTTGTATATATTACATGATGAAAGGATTTTAGAAAATGGCTAAACATTAGTAAAATAAACATAATTTATCTAGTTATTTAACAAATGAATAAATTATTAATAATTACATAAATTCTAAATGATTAAAAATGTGACAAATATGCAAATTGACTTTTTTTTGTACATGTGAATTATTTTAAAGGTAGCTCAGGACTGGACTGTATGCGAATTTTTGTCAAGGCACGTTTTCTTTTCTATATTGCACATTAAATGATGTACCTAATAAAATGGCCAGTGGGTGTATTTTTCAACAATAAGCCCACTCACAATTTTGCTCCACGCAGAGGCATGACTATCAGGTCCACCATCAAGGGAGCAACAGGAAGTTAGCCATGTTCATGCTTCCTGTCCACCCCTCTGATGGCCCCCCCCCTTTCCTGGAAACTCATGTTACCGCTCACACACGTAACCACACACAAGCACTTACACACCCTATTCCCCCTTAGACACATGTAGAAAGAAATGACTGATAAAGGCCTCAGACTTTTGAAATACAGCACCTGAAGCCGTTTCCACCGACCCATTAAAAACAAATAATAATAAATAAATAAAAAACATGGCCCAAAAGATATAAAAAGTCAGACATAAGTCATCCCCCGAGCCCAGTTTGGCTTTGCAACGTGAAATTCGGTAAATATGAGTCCCAAGAAGCCATATGTGAAAACACAAAGAAAGTCTGCCATTTTCGTTTGAAGCTGCCATTTTTCACGACTTGTCATAAAACATGAAACTCTGACTTAACCCTTTGAAAATTCAACCCAAGCCCGGTTTACAGAGCAACTTCAAAATCTGGTAAAAGTATCATGGGGAGACCCAAAAAAACAAAGTCTCAAGAAGTCGTGCTTGAAAATACACAGGAAG